GGGTGAGGGGGCAATGACCTATTTACTCACGTGACCTCGATCATTGTCGGCGGCAGCTGGTTTTGTAGTGTGGGAAGTTTTCTTTTTGTTGTTGTCGTTTTAAATAAAGTACGTTTAGCTGTCAGCTGAGACGCTGTAATCCCTGACCCCAAGTTGTACCAAGCGGACAGGCTGGGAGCAGCCAGACCCCTACATGACCTAAATTGTGTTGATAGGACTGTGAAACGTCTACAGTTACATTGACAGTCCAGCACACTCTTGTCGGAATCGCCAAAGACCAGTGTTCGATTCCCGTATTGCAATATTATTCTCTGATCTGATCTGATCTGATCTGATCTGATCTGATCTTGTCTTATCTTATATGATTTGATCTTATTTGATCTTATATGATCTGATCTGATCTGATCTGATCTTATCTTATCTGATATTTCCTTCTGTCTGACGAGACACGAGTCCCCACCGGCCACGGCTAGCGCCGACCCCCTGCCTTGAAGCACCCTCCAAGTTTTCCCCAATGTGGTGACAGGTCGAGAAACATCAGCCTCCAAACCCCCGGGGTCAACTCAGGTTCTCTTTTTTTGTCTTTCTATTTTTGTTCCGTAATCATTTCCAGTTGGTGAGCATGATAGTTATGAGCTTTATCTCAGACCCACACGGGGGTAATTGCAACAGCACTTTAGGTGTTTATTGTGTGTATTATATACATATATATATATATATATAATGGATCGTATCTGTTTTGATTGCGATGGTTTTTTCAGTTCTATGTCCAGTAACAGAAGGGGGTCAGGGACAGGTCACGTGACAAAGACTTATATATCGGCACGTTGTGGGCAGTGTGTGGACCACACAGACTTGGCGGGACAATCGGGTATGTTCCAATTCTCACTTCTTGGGCAACTTTTCTGTCTGTAAAGCGCATAGAGCTTACCGTTATCAGGGAATTTACGCTATACAAATGCTATCTATCTATTATTGTTATTATTATTATTAATCAATCTTATATTTTTAAAAGTGTTGCTAGGTGGTAGAGTCCATGTAGTGTAATACACTATACTACTATACAAGCGTAAGAGTGGAGTTAGTTAAATAAGGAATTTACAAATCACTTCAATAAACGTGCTTCTTCAGGGTTCATTTTTGGACTAACTTTTTACTTGAAACTGACATGAAGAAATTAAAAGCAGCACTGTACAAAAAGGTCGTCAGATACTTTATTCATCATCATCATCATCATCGTCATCGTCATCATCATCGTCATCGTCATCGTCATCGTCATCGTCATCGTCATCATCATCATCATCAAGTGCCAGACCTATGCTCTATGGGACGCTCTCATTCTCCCGCTCTCTCCCCGGCTCCCCTATTTTTGTATTCTGGTTCGGCTCTCCAAGTGGGTTCCTTTGGTCGACCCCTGCCTCGTTTCCATTCGTCCACTTCACTGCCAGACCCGAGAATTGAGTCATGGAGCAGGTCTGAGAGTCAAAGCACATTCCTGCGTTTCACAAATCCCAGTTTATTAGACAACAGAATTCATTGACGGCGACTTTTGTCTTTGCAGTAAGTGGTTTCGTCACGTCATTGTCCCTGTCAGCCGCCGACACTATCGACCCCACAACGTTAGCGACAGTCAGCTCATCTCGTCCAGACCTTTGTGTTTATAAAACACTGTCCTTTCCTTCACACTCTCAAAATTATGTTTAAAACGGTTTCTCTCGGCCACTCGAACTTGGTGGATTAGATGAAGGAAAACGAATGACCTACCTTTAGAGGTTGAAATAAGAACATCTAAACGTGCAGAAATAAGACCAGTAAGTGAAAAGATAACCAAAGCATTACATAGTATTGGGAACATTGTCTTTTACCAACAAGCGCCTATGATTATATTGCAAAGTGTAGTCTACTGGAATTAAGCTCACGGGATTTGACATGGCGTATGCAAATGTACAAAACACATAAAATTTACGATTGTGCTCATTTTTAATGCTAAAGTATATGTGTATACAAACTGGCGACCCTACAACTGCATACGTTATAGTGCCCATCACAGAGGCACAGCAGTGGCACCCTGGACCCCTAACCCCTGACCCCTACTAACCCCTACTTACCCCTACTTACCCCTAACCCCTGACCCCTACTAACCCCTACTTACCCCTAACCCCTAACCCCAACTAACCCCTACAAAACTCCCCAGTTTCTGTACGTCAAAGCCCCATTGTCCGGAGACTAGAGACCAACATGCACGTGCTCCAAGTGACCTTGACCTGCTGGCTGGTGTGTTGTGGGCCTGGCTTCCCCCCGGCCACTGAGGCCACGCGCGTGAGCCCGCTCATCTCAGGGGAGACGACTTTCTCACAGAACTTGTACGGAAAACTTCGCCAGAGCCACGACAATCTCATCTACTCACCTTATAGGTCAGTGCTGCGACAATCTCACCACGACAATCTCACCACGACAATCTCACCACGACAATCTATTTGGTTTTCTTTCTTTTTTTGAGGGGGGGGGCTCTTTTTTCCGTTGGTCGTCCTTGAGAGGGGAGGGGCGAGGTCTGGATAGAGGGCAGAAACTGTTTCCCCGGGCTGCGAGATTGCTGGTATTGGCGTCGATATCACGCGCATCATCGTATACCCATCTCTTGGTGTCCCGGGGCGCCAGGGCTTTCAACACAGGGATGCGACTTCTCTATACGCGACTTTCTGTAGGCGACTTTCTATTCCAATCTTCCCCCGTCACGCACCCTAGCGCGAACTCCATGAAAGGCATTGATCGACGCGCCCGTAGGAATTCACAGTGAAAGTAAGATACAGTAAAAGAGACAAAAGTGCAGAGATGTGCGTTTTAGTGCCTGCCGAAGCACGAAGTTTCGGGATCGAGCCTTGAAACTTAAAACTCTGAGTCTTTGTCCGGTGAACCGGGCGACGAGACAGGACTGTGGGCGCTAATCCTTCTGTGTCTGGCGAGGTGAGGGCGAATACTTCATCTGAGCACGTTTTGCAGAAAATGAGAAGTTTGCCGGATAAAGAGCGGACTGCGGGAGGGACTGGGGAAGAATTCGGGTGAATCTGGAATCCCGGGTAGCGGCTGTCAGAGCTGACAGAACTTTTCAGCTTCTGTGCGCCCAAGGAGCAGGATATTGACGATTATATTCGAGCAGAGTGCAACCCCCTGTTGCTACGTGTGGCGGGAATGATCTCCCCTATCTAACCTGATGTATTCATTAGCAGGACGGCGAGCGTTCTTTCTAATGTAGTCTATCATGTTGTATCTTTGTGTATGTTTCTCCTATCCCCCACTTCTGCCTCCCCCAAACTCTGCCCCACCCCCTTGTCTGTCTACATGTTTTGCGGTCTTTCTGTTTCACTCTCTGTCTTTCCTACACCCCCCCCCTTTCTTCGTCTGTCATTCCACCTTCACCCCCTTCTTTGCCATATCTCTTTCTCCCTTTCTTTTTCTTTCCCTCTCTTTCTCTCTCTCCTCTTTTTTCTCACTTTCTCTCTCTTTCTCCCACTATCTTTTTCTCTCTCTATTTCTCTCGTAGTTTAGCCCTCCTACATTCTGTCTGTCTGTCTGTCTGTCTGTCTGTCTGTCTGTCTGTCTGTCTGTCTGTCTGTCTGTCTGTCTGTCTGTCTGTCTGTCTGTCTGTGCTATCAACTGACCTTGGTGATAT